CTAGAGTTTTATAGATGGATGGGTAGGACTTGAATAGGCAGAGAGGAAGGGGATGGTTTTCGAGGCCAGGGAAGAGCAAGAGCAAGAGCAAGGTTGGAGTAAACATATTATTAAATTGGACTGAGAATACTTGTCTGATGCAGTAATAGAGTTTGGGTTATCAACTAGGAGGAGATAAGATTAGTTAAGTAGTGCTCAGTCAGATTATGAATAGCTTGAAAGTCATACTGAGGAATTTGGGCTTGATCTTGCCAATATTTGGGAGCCGTTGAAGGTTTATAAGTAGGGCAGTGACTTGATGAGCTTGGAGTTATAGACTGGTAATAGGAGGTGTTACGTAGATTACTAGAAAAGAGGCCTTAATTAAGAATTTTTACAGAAATTCAGATGTGATCACTATTGAGGAAGCCTGAATTTAGGGGTTGGAAAAAAAAAGAGGAATGTATTGGAGAGAAGTTTTGAAGAAGGAGAAGATAGGACTGGATGCAGAGAAGGAAGGAAGGAAAGAAAATAAAAGAAAAGATGACTTTAAGATTGAGATTGGTAGAATTGAGGAACGTTTGTAATATTAGTTAACTGAAGTTGGGAAGAAGGAACTCTGCTGGCACAGTGGTAAAAGCGCTGGACTGCTAACGGAAAGGTTGCAGTTCCAACCAACCAGCCACTCTGTGTGAAAAAGATGTGACATTCTGCTTCCACAGAGATTTACATCCTTGGAAACCCTTTGGGGTTGCTATGAGTTGGAATTGACTTGATGGCAGTGGGTTTAGTTTTTTGGGGGGAAGCTGGGCAAGGGGTAAGATATAGCCTCTATTTTTTGCCCTCAAATTCTCTGCTAACAATATTACTCCACATCCATGTGCTTTTTAAACTTTTATTTGTTTGAGATTTGTTGATATTCTCTAAAATTGTCCTGGGATTGAGCTGGAAGTTAAAAGATGCCCTTTTATAAGCACTCATTTGGAAAAAAAAGTAACTACATTTCAAACAAGCAAATACTGTATAAGTTCTTAGTTATACAAATTATACTCTAATAAATACATCATCGTTAGTTAAATTGACTGTCAAGTGGAGAGGAATTTTTGGAATGCATTTGTTATTTAGAATTTTTTGGTTTAACAGAATTTGTCCAAGGTATATTAACAGCAGTGTAGCAATAAACTGTGACTCATCAGCTTGGATGGTTTAGTTTATAATAATATTAGTTAAAATAATCTTACATTTCTATGTCATTGTAACATTTTATAGTAGAGTATCATATTATCTACCATTTCTTTAGCATCTGCTGTGTACTTTATCCGTATTAACTCTTTAATCTTTACTGCTACCTCATAAAGTCCTTGGGTGGTGCAAATGGTTAACCTGCGTGGCTACTAATCAAAAGATTGGAGGTTTAAGTCCACCCAGAGGTGCCTAAGAAGAAAGGCCTAGCAATCTGTTTCCTCAGTTCTACCATTTCAGTCTTTTCTTTCTTCCTTCCTTCCTTCCTTCTCTGCATCCGTTGAAAACCCTATGGAGCGCAGTTCTATTCTGAGACACATGAGGTCGCTGTGAGTTGAAATTGACTCCACAATAACGATAAAATTATTCCTATTTTACCGAGGAAACGGAACCTCATAGAGATTTAAGAAATGTCCCTGGGGGACTGGCAGAGTTAGGATTCTAGGTCACTGACTCCAAAGCTCATGTTCTTTCTACTACTGTTCCTAGATTAGAAGACATAAGAATAGGAATAATTAAAGAGTTAGGTCAGTTGTGGTAATTGATTAGGCAGTAATTCATATCAGTGAAGTACTATCATATCTGTTTGCGTGTTTAAGGGGCGCTTAAAAGACCAAGTATCATTTGTACTCCTGGTTCTAATCACATGACATTTATTTATCTTTTGGATTGTTGTTGTTAGGTGCCGTCGAGTTGGTGTCGAGTCGGTTCTGACTCATAGCGACCCTATAATATCCCTCATATTCTTTTACAGAACTTCTGCAAATCCTTATTTAAAAACAAATGTCTGGTTCAAGAAAAGACAAAAAAGTATCTGTTGACACTGTTTAGCAAATAACTAGTCTTGGCAAATGACATTAAAGGAAGTTTCAGGATCCAGCTTTTGGGAAAATGGGTTTGAAGATCATTCCTCCTGAAAGTATAGGGCTGGCTAGTCCTGAGACCACTGTCAGTGATATCCGGCCCTTTTTTGTATGTTCCTCTCTCTTTATTCTACTCATCCTCCATATTCATAAAGTTCTTTAGCTTACCACTTCTTCATCTCTGCCATCGAGAATGACTTCAAAGTCCTATCTTCTGCTATCTCCTCAGTGTTATAAGCTCAGCTCCACTCCTCCCCACCTCATTCCTGATGTCCCTTGACTAGCTGCTTTTGCTGGGTCCTGTAGAATTTGTGCACAAATGTGAGCAAAGTCCTAGGTTCTTAATCTTTGCTTTCAACATTTCTTCCATCTCCTAGCCCATAACTGAAAACAAGACTTTTTCTCTAATGATGTCCTATTATTTTTATTTTTGCTAATTGTATACCCTGCAGCTCCTTGGACAAGTGAGGAGGAAGATCAACATTTCTAGTCCTTCACTGCCCCTTCTAGACCATTGTTTTGCCACTTTTGCACAGCTTCTAATTTTCAAAGTCCCTGCCGTATGCTCACCCCTCATTCTCATTGCTTTTGTCTGGTGACTTTAAGGATCCACCTGGATCCGTTTTCTTCTCCATCTCGTTCCCTAGTATCCCCTTTGTCTAGTACCTCACTTTTATCAATTATTATCTCTCTCCTGCATCTTCAGCTTCATATTGAGTCCTTCAGGCTACAAATATACTGAGGTCTGTTCTATCCTGAAACAAATAAAATCCCTGTTCCTTGCTATCTTCTTGAGTTACTGGTATCTTTTTCCTTTTACTCTCAAATGTTTTAAAAGGGACATTCTGTATACAGTTTCTTCTTTTACACTCACTCATTCTTTAACACCTTTTCTGTCTTGTTTCTGTCCCCAGCACTTTACTAGAAATGCCATTTCAGAAGACCCAAACCCAAAAAAACCAAACCCATTGCTGTCGAGTCGATTCCAACTCACAGCGACCCTATAGAACAGAGTAGACCTGTCCTATAGGGTTTCCAAGGAGCGGCTGGTGGATTCGAACTGCTGAGCTTTTGGTTAGCAACCAAACACTTAACCACTGCACCACCAGGGTCCCTTCAGAAGACCCAGTGTCCATGAATTCAGTCATTTTCATAGCCTTTGTCTTCCCTTAGTCTCTTTGCGATATGTAAGCTGTTGGTTATGTTGCTCCTTCTTGAACCGCTTTTCTTTGACTAGGAGTTGGTAAGGCTAACTTGGCTGGTTGTTGGAGTCTGGTGTTCATCTTGTGGCCTGTACTGACTAACCAGAAGGGGTGGAGCAGATTGGCACTGTGCATTTTATAGTGCTCTGTACCCTGTGGACTTTTTTTATTTGACTTGCCCGTCTTCCTCGCTCTCTCTTTCTGTCTCTCCTCCCCTCCTTGATCCTGCTGTGGCTTGTGTGTAAAATGGATTGCCCTCTTCTGGTCTGAACTCTGGTTAAATACGATAATATGTATATAGACAATTTTGTCTCATATCTTTCTCAGAGTAGACTTTTGAAAAAAATAATGTGGATTCAACCCTTCTGTAAACTCCTGTGAGGTTTGAAATTCTTCAAAAAATTTGGGAAAGTTTAGTGAATATCAGGTAGTGGCCTAGTGGCCTTAATGAGAATTTTTCTATGAGCTCTCTCCTTTTATTCTTTTAGTATGGTTTTCATGGAAAGCTATTTCTGGAAAACAGATCAGATTCTGTCACAGCAAAAATAATTACACTGAGAATCTCAGTACAATGGGGATTTCTAGCCCCACTTACTTTTAGGAGTATTTTCTGTACTAGCATTACACTGTGACAGTTCCCTAGAATTTGTCACCAGGATTTTTACCTATATTTGCCAAGACAGTTTCAGAAAGTGGTAGCATAATTAGGCTAATACAAATTTAGTAGAGCAAATTTTTGAAGTGGCATGATTTTTTGAGAAGGAAACAGTACTGAGTAATGTCATTTTTGTTTCTGTTTTTTTCTTTTTGTTTTGCTGTGTTAAATGATCTTTGAAGTCTTGCCCTCTGAAGATTTTTTTATTCTTAGAGATTTTAGTCATTCTCTTTTGTCAGATGTTTATCACCTTCTTTGACAGGAAATGGAATTATTTAGCCCAGAGAAATGATGGAAAGAGCTGTGTACTGAGCTTGGAGGCTCTGGTTCAGTCTTTGTTGTTAACTAGCCATATGAACTTGTGCAAGTCATTTTTTTCCTCTGGTTGCTCATTGTCAAATGAGAAAGGGAGTAAATAACCACCACATTAATTCAGAGTGTTTTGATAAAAATCTATACACGTGACTCTCAAAGTCAATTTACTAATCAGAAATATGACAATTTGTGTTAAGAGATGAATTTACAATATGTGTTGTTACATTAAGAAATACAGTTTAGCTGTAAATTCAAAATGGTAGAATAGATGCTTACATCTAAGCAGCGATGTTACATGGATTATAAATTTACTGGGAAATATTACCAAAGTGTGAAAACAATGAAATATGAAATCCAGTACATATGCCCATTTCAAAATTATAAGATAGCTTTGAGGCAAATTTTTTAAAGATTTTTTTTTGTGTGTGTGTAGAAAATGGGTAAAATGGTGAAGAAGATTGGTAAAATATTAATATTAATAGTGGTAGCTAATAACATTTGCTTAGCACTTACTATGTGCCAGTCAGTATTCTCAGAGTTTATAATGCATTTAGTCCTTAATTCTATGTGGTAAGTATTATCCCTATTTTATATGTAAGGACATTGAGACACAGTTAAGTAACTTGCCTATACTGCTGTTAAGTGACAGATTGTGTGACCAGGTCTGTGTGACTCCAGAGCCTCTGTTCCACATAAGTTTATAGTGTGTCAATCTCAGAACGCATTAAAGTTGATAGTGTATGGTAGCTGGAACAAAGTAGAATTCAAATATTTGTTGAATGTTTGCCTAGTTTATTGTGTTTTCTTCTTCAAGCCGTGTGCTGTAGTAGTTTCATTACAGATTACAAGTATATTAATTTAGTAACACTCAAATTGATTGACCCAGATGGTCTGGGTTTGAATTCCAGCTCTACCATATGATATTTCTTAGGCAAGTTAGGCAAGCGACTCTACCTCTCTAGACCTCAAGTTTACTCATCTGAAATATGGGATGATAATACCTACCGCATAGTGTTGTTCTGAGAAATAAATGAGTTAGTCCGTGTAAAGGGCTTGGAATGGAACAAAGTAAGCACACAGTAAATGTTAGCTATTATTAGTATATCATGCTTTTAACTTTTCCAAGTATTAACATTTCCTTCAAATAACATTTCTGTGAGATAGGTAGGCAGGTCTAGGGTTTGCCATGTTAAGTCTTGTTTTACAAATGAGAAAACCAAGACCCAAAGAGATGAGGAGGAACTTGTCTAAGGACAGCAGAACAAAATTAAATGGAATAAAATTTAAAAGAATATTTAACTCCACTCTGAAAGATAAAGAAATGGTTTGGGATTAATGTCTTAATAGTCATCTCTCTTGTATAAGTAAGAATAACTTGTGGTTTTTGGAATGTGAGGGAAGTTCATTCCTAGCTACTCATTTCTTCTGGTCTTTCATTCTCTTCCTGCTGTTAGAGAGGTGGTGGAAGGATGTTGCTGCGTCATTACTGTGTCCTAGTCTAGCCATCTAGCAGGCTGAGAAACAATATTTGAACGATATTGGATTTGCCGGGAACTGAGAAAACAGCTTACCTCTTCTACGTGGAAAAAAAGGTAAAATGAGTGGCAGACATGAGCTACCCCTATGATCTGTTTGCTGTCTTGTGAGTTGTTTCATGAAATTAACTCTTAAACTGCTTCAGCTGGACCCCACCCTTTTGTCCTGCATCAGTCCCCTGCAGTTGTTTAAAGGCGTTTTTAGGATCTAAGTGCTTCTAGATTTTTTTTCTCAAGCCTTATGCTGCTTGATATCTCTCAGCTGTCAGCACCTGATTTTGCTGCAGTATGTACTGCATGATCTCTGCATTGCTGTAACCAGATCTTGGTTGGACTTAGCTTTTCCCTCTCTCTCTTTGATGAAAAGATTTCTTTACATCTCTCCTTCAGGCTAATTTGCGGTAGCATTGGAGGCTCTTCCCCATCCCTTTGGAAAAACCTGAAGAGAAAACAATTTTTGAGAAGTCACCTTTGTTGCGATTTCTCTTTGCCTGGATTTTTCTGACTGTAGCCTCCCCTTATATCTAATACATAGAAACAGAGTCTTCAGCAAATGTATATTGTATTTGCCCATGCAAGGGACTACTACGCTAATCACTGCAAATGCAGAGAGTATAAGAATTGAAGACAATTTAATTAGACTGAATAATGATTGAGAAGATAGATGAAGCAACATATCTTAGTGGAAAAAAGAGCTTTATAATTAGGCAGATCTGGATTTAATCCCCGGTTCTGCTTTTTAATACCAATATGACCACATTTGGTTTATCCATTCATTTGTTGATGGGCATTTCGGTTTCCACCTTTTGGCTATTGTGAATAGTGCTGCAATGAGCGTTGGTGTACAATTATCTGTTTGAGTCTATGCTTTCAAGTCTTTTGGGTATATACCTAAGAGTGGAATTGCTGGGTCATATGGTAGTTCTGTGTTTAGTTCGTTGAGGAACTGCCAAGCTATTTTCCACCATGGCTGTACCGTTTTGCATTCTACTGGCAAAGGATAAGGGTTCCAATTTCCCCACATCCTCGTGAACATTTGTTATTTTCTGTTTCTTTTTTTTTTTTTTCAATCATCTTAGCCATCCTGGTGGGAGTGAATTAGTATCTCATTTGACAGCTATAAGGTCTTATATTGGTTAGCTATGATTTATGTACAACCCCATCCAACATGAGTAGCCTTACGCCATCCCAACCCATGTTTTCTCTGAATACTTTGACTCCTGATGAAAATGATGTATTCTAGTGCTGTGCCTATTTCTAACCACCTGTTTCTATGAATGTGGTTTATCCAGATCTTCAATGGAATATGCAACAACATTGGAATCACAAACTCTTGAAAGTCTTGAAAGTACTAGTGTTGGCTGATGAAATGATTTGAGTAGGAGTGTAGCATAGTCCTAAGAATTCCACAGTCCTTTATATGCAATTCCAAAAACTAAAGAGCACTTTAAAATGAAAAACATAATAGATTTTGTGATAAAACCTGACGTGAACTAAAGTGAAGCTATTTATAATCTTCGTTTGTCTCACTTGGTGTGATTATTCACATATTTAACTACAGAAATATTAATGTGTTTGCCTACCGGGTGCTGTCCCAGTCCCTATTATATTATCTTACTAAAATCTGAAAAATTCTAAGTTCCAAAACATATCCACAAAGGATTGTGGACCTCCTGTATTTGTTTTGTTGTAGTAGTTCCTTGTTACCTGAATTCTTCTCTTTTTTTAAAAAAAATATTTTATTGTGTTTTTGGTGAAAGTTTACACAGGAAACTAGGTTCTCATTTAACAATTTCTGTATATAATGTTCAGTGACATTGGTTACATTCTTCACAATATATCAGCATTCTCATTATTTCCATTTGGGTTGTTCCGTTTCCGTTAATCTAGCTTCCCTGTCCCCCCAGCCTTCTCATCTTTGGTCTAGGGTAAATATTAATCATTTTGCTTCATCTAGATGATTATTTTGAGGAGCACAGAACTTATGGGTGATATTTTATGGGCCAATCTGTCATTTGGCTGAAAGGTGACCTCTGGGAGTGGTTTGAGTTCCAAGTTTAAATAGTATCTCAGGGCAATAGTCTTGAGGGTTCATCTAGTCTCTACGGGTCCAGTAAGTCTGGCCTTTGTTTAGGAATTTGAGTTTTGTTATACATTTTTCTCCCACTCTATCTGGGGCCATCTGTTGAGTCCATGGATTCTTCTTGAAATAAACCCTGGAGGGCGAAGTTTTTATATGGGCCTTTATTGGTTGCTAAAGCCTGACAATTCATTTCCACTATCCCCCCTGCCTTTTTCTTTTGAAGAATATTACTATGCCATGTATTCATTAACACTGGAGGAGGTGTATTCTCTTGCTTTTAAAAAATAGTTTAGAAATTTTATGATTTCTTTTTTCCCATTCAGTTATTTTGAAAAATTTCAAACCTACTAAACAGTTGAAAGAATAGTATTGTGTATACCCTTATCCCTTTCACCTACATCAGTGGTTCTCGATAGGATGGTGATAGATCTCAGGGTCCCTGAGACCCTTTAAGGGAGTCCACAAGGTCAAAACTATTTTTGTAATAATACTAAGACATTATCTGCTTTTTTCACTGTGGTGACATTTGTATTGTCAGTGGCAGATAAAACTACTGGCTCCTTAGCATAAATCAAAACAGTGGCATCAAATTGTATTAATAATAATTATATTTTTCATGGAAACACACTTTCAGTAAAACAAAAATGCCAGTTTCCCTTAAGAATATCCTTGATGAAGCAGTAAAAATTATTAATTTTCTTGACTCTTCAGTATCTATCTTTTTAGTATTCTGTGTGATGAAATGGGAAGTACACATGAAATCCTTCTGCTGTATATCAAGGTGTGATGCTTATTGAAGAAAAACACTACAATGACAAACTGGTTAGACTTGAGTATTTGGTAGATATTTTCTTGAAATGAATGCAGTGAGCTTGTCATTCAAGAAAAATAATAGACAGTATTTGCCAAGGACAAAATTTGAGTTTTCAAGAAAAAATTAGAATTTAGGGTAACTTTTGTCTGCCACTGTGAGCTTGGCAGCTCTCAGTACTTAACGGCTTTTCTCTTGAGTTTGGCGATGATGTTAACAAAAGTGATTTTTTTGCTATTGTGTAATGAAATACCACCACTCGTCTGTCCGAACAATAATAGATGGATCCTGGCTGAAAGCAGAGAATACCAGAAAGGTGTTTACCTGTGTTTTATTGATTATGCAGAGGCATTTGACTGTGTGGATCATAACACATTATGTATAACATTGTGAAGACTGGGAATTCCAGAACACTTAATTGTGCTCATGTGGAACCTGTACATAGACCAAGAGGCAGTCATTCGAACAGAACAAGGGGCTACGGAGTGGTTTAAAGTCAGAAAAGGTGTGTGTCAGGGTTGTAGCCTTTCATCATGCTTAATCTGTGTGCTGAGCAAATAATCCGACAAGCTGGACTATATGAAGAAGAACGTGGCATCAGATTGGAGGAAGATTGATTAATAACCTGCGATATGCAGATGACACAACCTTGCTTGCTGGAAACGAAGAGGGCTTGAAGCACTTACTGATGAAGATCAAAGACTACAGGCTTCAGTATAGATGACAGCTCAACATAAAGAAAACAAAAATCCTCACAACTGGACCAATAAGCAGCATCATGATAAATGGACAAAAGTTTGAAGTAGTCAAGGATTTCATTTTACTTGAATCCACAATCAATGCTCATAGATGCAGCAGTCAAGAAATCAAATGACATATTACATTGGGTAAATCTTCTGCAAAAGACCCCTTAAAAGTGTTAAAAAGCAATGGCATCACTTGGTGGACTAAGGTGCACCTGACCCAAGCCATGGTATTTCAGTCGCCTCATATGCATACCAAAGCTGGACAGTGAATAAGAAAGACTGAAGAATTGATGCCTTTGAGTTATGGTGTTGGTGAAGAATATGAGATATACCATGGACTGCTAGAAGAACAAACAAATCTGTCTTGGAAGAAGTACAGCCAGAATCCTCCTTAGAAGCAAGGATGGTGAGACTTTGTCTCATGTACTTTGGACGTGTTATCAGGAGTGACCAGTCCTTGGAGAAGGACATCGTGTTTGGTAAAGTAGAGGATCAGGGAAAAAGAGGAAGTCCCTCAACGAGATGGATTGACATGACTGTGAGAATGGGGTAGAACCAGGCAGTATTTCATTTCTGTTGTACGTAGGGTTGCTGTGAGTCAGAAGTGACTCGATGGCACCTAAAAACAACAACATAATGAAATGTGTCAATGTTTAGAAGGTCTGCATGTTTGTCAACTCAGTGAACCAGTATTTTCCAGATGATTAATGCATGATTTTACAAGATCAATGCCTAGGTGAAAGATTCACTCAAAGTGCAACACAGACCAGTAGATTTTAATGTAACAGTATGAAGAGTGCATTGATACGGTTTCAGATTCCACATTGCAGTTAACCTTTAAGAAGCTATTACTGGTCAGGTTATGGTGTGGTATTAAAGAAGAATATATCCAGTCATCTTCAGATACTCCCCTTTCAAGTACATACTTTGTGAAGTTGTATTTTCTTCATATACTTCAAACAAAACACAGTGTTACAACAATTAAATGCAGAAACAGGAGAGCGCAGCAACAGAGACTAAAGAAATTTACAGAAGTATATAACCAAATGCCATTCTTTCATTAAATTTTTTTAATTGGAAAATACAGTTTTTTGTTTTTTTTTTTTAAATGTTAACATATAATGGGTTTGCTTTAAAATCAAGTATTTTAAAATTCGGTTTTAAGATGATTCCTGATCGAAAGGGGAAAAATCTGGAATAGAATTTCAAGTTTTTACAGAATCTGGACTTTCTGGATCTGTTGAGATTGGAGGAACTCCTGAATCTATTGCTCTTAGAAAATCTTCAAACCCTGAACTGAAATTACCTCTGAAGTCATCTTTAAACATCTGTTTAGCTAAATTAGTAAAGAATGTTCACCATGAACATTGTGCTCTTTTAAAGAATTATCTATCTGAGAACAGACTGTCAACAGTAG